AAAGATGAAGGTGAAGATTGGGTGGCATGATTAGTAATGAATTTTTGGAGGACGATCTGCTTTTATGATGTAAATATCTTTGCTAGTTATGGCAACGCATGATAAAAACAAGGGAAGAATTCATTTCAACCGAGGAAAAAGAATGAAAGGAAGTATTGTCATATCTTTCATAAGGGGGAGGAAGTTTCCAACGGAAAAAACTAAAAAAAAAAGAGGCGGAAGAAGGGCCTGCAGCGCTACAAAGATTGTCGGCTGCAGGTATAGAAAGTTTTCGATGACAGGATATTCTAGGGTTTGTTTCAAGGCTCTGACCCATGTTGAATTTCATAATAATGCAGAATAAAGTAGAATCATTTTATTGATATAAAAATGTGATATAAATACCCTTACATGATTCCTATAATAGAAAAAATAATAAAAAGAAATAACATAAAAAGGAAAGATATAACACCTAATATCTCCAATAATAAATTTATATTAATTATTTGGAAATAAAAAAATAACATAAAATAGGAAGTCCTAAAATAAAAAAAAGGAAATAACTCATAATCCAATGAAATAAATATAAAATAGAAAAAGAAATAACTCATAATTCAATGAAATAAATATAAAATAGGAAAAGAAATAACTCATAATCCAATGAAATAAATAAAAAAATAGGAAAAGAAATAACATCTAATCCAAGGAAATAATTTATTCATCACAACTTCTCACAGGAATAAATTATTTATTAATATAACTTCTAACATATCATATAATAACAGTGTAACAATAAAATAAAATTGATCTCCAAAGAACTAAAAGACCATGGTATTATGTCAACAAATATCACTTATAAAAAAAAGAAACAAAAAATAAAAATAAAAAACCAAACTTGATAACTTTGTTGGGTCAAACTCTTATAATCTTGAAATATTTGCATACACACCACCAGATTCCTATGTATTTACATATATAACACCTCAATTTTAATTTTTACATAAATATCGCCTTACCTATGCATGAAAGTTAAAAGTGGTATTTTGATGTGATACGAAAGACTTGAGTGGTATAAATGTAAAAAAAAAATTTTAGGTATTAGATATGTAAATATATAGGGATTGAGTGGTATGTATGTAAATACCCCCAATACCTTTTTCAAGGATAAAACCTGTAGTTCAACTGATTCCAAGTTTAAACTTTAAAAGTACCAAAAAACAAAGATGATTTAAACCACATGAACCCAAGATTTAAAAGAAGTGAAAAAATGCTAGTTGAAGATAGAGTAAGCATCTTGAGTCTTGTGGAGCCATAGTTATACATGAATGTGTAGTACAATAAATCATTTTGCATGGAATACTACAACCAAGACACTAATGTTGCTTCAATAATAACTTCCTTTTTCTCCACTTGCTTGGGCCAACGGAGATATCTTAAATTTGATTCTAAATATTATGACCTAAACCAGGGCTTGGAATTAATCAGGACTGGAACAGACGGTGAAAAAAATTTATGCTATTATATTTCTATTACTAATAGTTTAATATTCAAATATTAATGAAAGATCCATTTAAGGAGACAATTTAATTAACTGTTAGTGATAAAAATAAAATTAATAGAGACTTGATTTTCACCGTCAGACCATCAGTTCCCATCTAGGTTAATTTCAAGTCTCGGTCGTGTCATATCACTAAATGCACTATCATAAAATGGAATCTATTGAATAACCAAATATGAAAATTAGTGTGTGTGTGTGTGTGTGTCTGTGTGTGTCTATATATATATATAACATATCTCTGAAATTTGATCTACTAAAATCTTCAAAACTTTTTTTACCATAAAAAATGATGGTACATGTTTCTTCAAAAAAGAACAAGCTTAGGGACCTCAAAGCATAATTAATTAATCCTTTATTTCTGCTCATCGTAGAAAATTTTATGAGAAACTAAATAAAAATAGTTTTAAATAATTGTTTTTATGGAAAATTAACCCACAATTATTATTTGAAATTAATTTTATTAATTAAGAGAACTAACATCTTCAACAACTCTCAAATCCTAATCACGTATTTCTAAATATGTCATGATTTTGGGATTCATCGTCAACGTCTAAGGCGGTGTTTGGCCGAAACTTGAATTTGCATTAAATAGGATTTATTAAATCTAGTAAATCCAATACTTTGTGCGACAGAGATGAGCTTGTGAGGTACAGCGGAAGAAATTCGTAAATTCGTCTCACAATTAGATTTACTAAATCCGAATTTACGTCCTAAAAGAAATAAAAAAGCAGGAAAAAAAGACGGAACATGAAAAATTTTATTTAATAGAGTGTTGGATTTAATTTTCATTTTTTTTTTATGTTTGGCTGGTTTTACACTAAATCAATGACTAAATTCTATTTAAATTATGCGATAAACACCGCCAAAATTTGGGCAAAAGGCTTTAGTCAGGTGAAAGTAGACTTTCGTGGATTGTCGTACAAGCAAAATTAGAGCGCCAATGGTTTCATCGTATATCAACAATTCTAACTATATACAAGATGAAAGATGATTATTTCAAAAAAACTCAATGAGGTATTCCTCTCCATACAAGATGCTTCTCCCATAACATCATTATGTCGTCAAGGAAGATGTTTTCCTTACCACAATGTCCATGGTGGGGAGATGGAAACATGGTGTGGAATTGCATCATATGTTGTTGAAAAGTCGTCCATTCTAAAATCCTTAAAGGAATGTTTGGGATCAATTTTGCTTTTTGTTTGTCTTAATTTTTGTTTTTTCCTTCTATTTTTAAAACATGTTTTTTTAGTCTATTTTTTACCTTTTTTTTATTTCTAAAATAATAACACATTTTTGAAAACACTCGAAACAACTTTCAAGTATTTTTAAAAACAACCATAATTATATTAAATAGTCAAACATGTTTTATCAAATCTCAAAACATAAATAAAATAAAATAAAAATAAAATTAGAAAATAAAAAATAAAAGTGAGCCAAAACGACTTCTTAGTTAATGTCTTCTAAATTTTCCAACATTTTCTAAATCCTTCATAACTAGTAGCAGGCTTGAATGGCTTCTCAATTTTGCAATATTTGGAATATATGCAGATTCTAAATGTTAATTGGGCTCAAAATTTTAAGCGGAAACAAGGCTGACATTACCTACTTTTTTCTCAAGCTAGAGTTTATGCTCTGCAACTAAATGTGATTACAATCTCACGAGTTTTAGACTTTAAAATTCCACAAGGGGAGGGAGGGAAGGAGAGAGGGAGGGAGGGAGGGAGAAAGAGAGAGATTGGTCACATACTAGATGTATACACCAATACAAGAATATAGAAAAGGCTGAACAACAAGGAATTAAACCCATCTGTTGAAGTGTCGAAGTGGTTGAATAAAGCTCACTAGCTGGAGCGGATGAATTAGGCCCATTAATAGAAATGATTAAACTCAATCCATCGAAAAGAGTGGTCGGAGCGAAGCAGCATTAAAAATCCTGACCATACTTATGGAGACAAATATCAATGTTTCATTAAGGACGTCGTTGGGCAATTAAAGTAGGGGTTTCTCATCAAGCCAGTAGCGATGGTTGTACCAACCAAGTCGATAGTCTTCAATAAAGGTGTCATCGGGATTCTATGGCCCTAGTATCTTGAAGGTACCAAGAATGGTGTCCGTACCATTCATACCTAACAATCCGACAACTTTGATGGCTGTAAATCTCATTCACATTAAAATCGTTGAGGGGTTCTTCATGTATAAAAGGAGAAAAAAATTCGAGATAGGGATTTTTTGGCGGTGACACTCTCTTTCTCCCTCTCTCCTCTTGTTCACTTTCTTTCTAGACCACGTACTTATGTTCAAGGTCAAGGTTAATAGTGACCTACACTGAAAATGAGTGAATCCCACTAAAAAAAAATTTATTTGCAAAATCCTCCAAATTAAGGAGCAAGTTTGATCCATCTCCATCTTAATTCTACCATGTTCTTCTACATCTTAACATGTACTCTCCGGATTGCATGTATCCACGAACGACACGGGATCCTACATCCCAAATGTGGTCAACACTATAATCTAAGTTCTGCTACTCAACTATTCCATATAATATGAATGTAGTCTGGGAGAAGAAAAGCCCATATAACTGGTGGAGGACGTGGGGGCTAAAAGACGACTAGCTAGATTGGGTGACAGCAAGGTGGTAGGTGTCTAGAAGGGATGACAGCATGTGGAGGAAGTGGTGGTTGGTGGCTTGAGTTGCAGGAACACACTAGAGTGTTATCTGGTGGTTTTGTCAGCGGGGAAAGGTGGCAGCGGTGGTGAAGCAAGGGTTGTGAAGGATGAGAAATTGAGGATAAATATCTAAGCGGGATTGAACTAAAGTTGGAGCACCATTAGATCCTTTGGAAACGGTTACCGCCTCAGATGAGTAATGGTCAAAGCACTTTCTCGTCTTCGGATATCGCCCTAAACGGGAAACACAGGAAGCCGAGGGTTGTCCTGAATAGAAACATATGCAAAATTGAAAATCTAAACATATGAATCTAATATATAAACCCTAGGTAATTATGATTGGGCCGCCCACTATTTAAAGGAAGCTCCAAATCCAAGGAAGGTCAGTCCGCCCTCAATTCGTTGTTCTAGCTGGCGCCAAGTCGCTAGGAGCTTTTCTGCATCCGGTCCAAATTGCAGGAATGAGGCAAAGGACACGGAAAGGGTACTTTAGGGAGCTCCCGCATCACTCATCCAATTTACCCTATAATAATTTTGGATTGACAAGCCTTTTTTTATTATTAACCTTGAATAAAATTTGTTAATCCATAATTATCTTACGTATGAAGAACTAGAGTGGAGAAAATCTCATATTGCCCTAAGTTATGCTCAGCTCAAAAATTTATTAAAACCAACTTTGATATTTTGACTCGATATATATATATATATATCATCGAAGTAGCAAGTGTAAAAAATAGCACTAAATATGGCCACAATGATTAACCTATATTATAATAAAGGAATAAAAAATAGTTACCAAATATTCCAATGTCTTGGGAATGTCTAAAATCGACTTCACACCAGCAGAAACAACAGCCACTGGAGTCCTTCCAAGTTCAGTGAGATCAGATGATATATCCATAGCTGCATGCCAAATTAAGATTTATATATGAATGTTCCCAAGAAATTTCTGATTAAAATTCAATTAAAATTAATTACAAATACAAAACAAGTAGAATTTATAAATGTCCACATTGAATCTTCTTTGGACAAGTAAAAAAACTGGAATAATTCACATATATACCACTCAATGCCTACGTATTTACGTATCTAACAGCTGGACTTCAATGTTTACATATATACCATCTTTTCTATGCATGAAAAGGTGTATTTCACTTTTTTAAACGTTAAAAAAGTGGCATTTTTTATGTGATATGAAAGATTTGGGTGGTATGAATTTAAAAAAAGTCAAGTTTAGGTGTTTGTTATAAAATACAGAGGAATTAGGTGGTACGTATTGTCGGTCAACTTTTTCGATTGATTATAATTACTTGAAAATATAAATATGAAAATAATTTTTGAGATTTAATTTAAATATAAAAGATATATGGTTTGAGTTTTGAAAATAGTATGTTTTAATTTTGAAAAAAATGAGACCAAATGGATCACATTAGTCCAATAGTTTGCATAATCGTGTCTGACATCGCGAATATTATACCCTCCCGAAAGATAAGTGTAAACCTCGACGATAGACCCAATCCTACAAACTAAGAGATTTGTGACATCTGTTTGGTCTGCGAACCTTTTTTTTGTATGACCGACAAGTTCTCCTATTTAATACAAAGATTAAATAGGGTTTATTTTACCTGGGTCCCAAGTTCCCTATAAAGGCAATAGTTAATTACATCTCAAATGATGTTAATTACATCTCAAATGATTGGAGTCACTTAAGAAAACTCTCGATAATGATTTGTGGTTCTAGTCTTCAAGATTTCAAGGTTTAGGTTTTCAAGGTAGGATGTGAAAAAAAAACAAGTGAGAGTGGCTCAAGTAGGAACAGTTATTTTCAGGAGTCCAAAAGAATGAGAAGATAGGGGATGTCACTGATCGAGGTAAATGTAAGTGACTTCCCAGACAATCCTACAATGTGGCTACATTTTTGGAGACGATGTTATTCAATTGTTCAATCCTGCCAATTTTATTATTTGGGATTTACATTTACATAATATTTGATTATGCAAATAACCTACAGAGATAAGAGGGTTTAAGTCGTGTCACATGACAACCTCAGAACCTAATGCGGGTTAGGACTTACGCTGCACAACATGGTTATACAGGAGCCTAAAAAGAGAGTGCGAGGATTTACATCGCGCTGGGCAAACTACCTCGAAGTCCTATGGATTATTATTATACTAGGAAGGGATAATGCTGAAGAAGATTTTCTTGTTGCTCGGTCTGAATTCATCACCGTGCTGCCCACAAAGTTGGCTCCACGCTCTTGTCGTCACGACGACTCCAGGTTTAAATGTTTGGGATTGGTGATTTGTGTTTCTCAGTTTTGGTGTCAATGTTTGGTTTTGTTTGGTTTCAATTTTTTGGTTTGTATGTAGAATAAGCAAATTACAAGAGTAATTGCAATAAAATAAAGGAACAACAACAAATAAAATGTACCTGCGTACGTGACGTATCTGCTGCTGTTATTCCTGTTGCATGTTTAACTCACAAAGCACAATATAATTTGCAGGGATTTAAATAAACTTGCAAGTAAACTAAACAAGACAAGAAAACTCAGCACGAAAGTCAGAAAAGCGAGTCGTATAAATCAAAAGCAAACGAAACACTTAGCCACATATGAAAGATCAGGACTGAGTATAAGAAGTTGGTGAAAGTGGGGGCTCAGAGCTGGGCTGTGTGCTTCCCGACCTTGAACAGGAGTTACCAGCCCAACAATCTACAGAAGACAGTTCTTAACCTCAATCCAAGTGACTAGCCGTGGACCTTTATAAATTTTCATAGAAAGATTTTCATGCAAAATTTATTATTCAAGTCATTTTTATACAGAGTTCTTTTCATCATGCAAAAGAAATTTTTATTTTATTTTTATAAATATTTTGTAAAGTCGTACAGCCCACAGACTAGTCACTCTAATCGTGCTAGAATTACTGTCAACCTAAGAGTGTCGGGGGCAACGATCCCACCAAGAATCGACGAATAATATCATAGGTCCTTCCCTCTCCCTTATTAAAGATCCTTGAGGTGGGAGATAATATTCTAATAATCTCACTTCAAATCCCTCGTTTAAGCACACATAAGCAATGTCGTTATCGCCCTCGCCACGTAGACCTTGGACTTATCCTAGTCCGAGGATCCATATGGAAAGCTAAAGAAACAACAAAGATATTTTTTTTCCTAAATATAAACTAAAAACTGAATTGTTCACAAATCCCGATGCACTGGGTTTTATTG